TTGGGTTCCTTCCGCGGATGTTCATGCTCCTGCCCTCCTCCGCGCTTTCCACGCCCGCTTTCCACAGAAGCCTTATGTTGAGCCGCGGAGGGGCCCTTGAGGAGGAGGTACTGTCAAGGTCCTACCTTTCCTCAGACCTTGTGCTGCTCCATGTGCTGGCATCCATCTTAGGTGTCTGCAAAGCATTGTGGGATCCTTTATGCTTTCAGCCCTCTGCAGCTCCTCCCTCAGGAGGTGGCGGCTTATCACATATAAGTCTGCTGTTTGTGGCTGTCCATTGCATTCGTGTCCTGTCTGTTGCACAACAGCAAGCTCCTGTTTAGCTACTCATTGCTTTCCTGGATACCGACTTGGCTTTGGCTAAGACTCCTCCTGGCTTCTAACTCCGGCTCTGGTGACCATTCTTCCTGGCTCCTGATCCCGGCTCTGCGACGATTCGTCCTGGCTCCTGATCCCGGCTCTGCGACGATTCGTCCTGGCTCCTGATCCCGGCTCTGCGACGATTCTTCCTGGCTCCTGATCCCGGCTCTGGCGACGATTCTTCCTGGCTCCTGATCCCAGCTCTGGCGACAATTCTCCCTGGCTCCTGATCCCAGCTCTGGCGACAATTCTTCCTGGCTCCTGATCCCGGCTCTGCGACGATTCTTCCTGGCTCCTGATCCCGGCTCTGCGACGATTCTTCCTGGCTCTTGACCCCAGTTTTGGCTACGATTTCCGCTGTTGGGCTTGCATAGACTCTTGTCTTATTTTTATATTAATAAACCTACCTTTAATTGCACCTCCTGATGTGTGTCTGGCTCCTCGCTCCCTGACACTCCACCATCCACACTACATTCTCTGACAGCTCTCCTCCACCATCCACACTACATTCTCCGACAGCTCCACCTCCACCATCCACACTACATTCTCTGACAGCTCTCTTCCACCATCCACACTACATTCTGTGACAGCTCTCTTCCACCATCCACACTACATTCTGTGACAGCTCTCCTCCCCACCATCCACACTACATTCTCTGACAGCTCTCCTCCACCATCACACTACATTCTCTGACAGATTTCCTCCACCATCCACACTACATTCTGACAGATTTCCTCCACCATCCACACTACATTCTCTGACAGATCTCCTCCACCATCCACACTACATTGTCTGACACATTCTCTCTCTCCTCCCCACCATCCACACTACATTCTCTGACAGCTCTCCTCCCCCACCATCCACACTACAATCTCTGACAGCTCTCCTCCCCCACCATCCAATCTACATTCTCTGACAGCTCTCCTCCACCCATTCCCACCATCCACACTACAATCTCTGACAGCTCTCCTGACAGCTCTCTCCACCCATCCACACTACATTCTCTGACAGCTCTCCTCTCCTCCCCACACCATCCACACTACAATTCTCTGACAGCTCTCCTCCCCCCCACCTCCACACTACATTCTCCCCCCCCACCATCCACACTACATTCTCTGACGCTCTCCTCCCCACCATCCACACTACATTCTCTGACAGCTCTCCTTCCCCCCACTATCCACACTACATTCTCTGACAGCTCTCCTCCCACCATCCACACTACATTCTCTGACAGCTCTCCTCCCCCACCATCCACACTGCAATACTTTGACAGCTCTCCTCCTCCACACCATTCACACTACATTCTCTGACAGATCTCCTCCCCCACCATCCACACTATATTCTCTGACAGCTCTCCTCCCCCCACCATCCACACTACATTCTCTGACAGCTCTCCTCCACCATCCACACTACATTCTCTAACAGCTCTCCTCCACCATCCATACTATATTCTTTGACAGCTCTCCTCCTCCCCCATCCACACTACATTCTCCGACAGCTCTCCTCCACACTACATTCTCTGACAGCTCTCCTCCCCCACCATCCACACTACATTCTCTGACAGCTCTCCTCCCCACCATCCACACTACATTCTCTGACAGCTCTCCTCCCCCACCATCCACACACATTCTCTGACAGCTTCCCCCCCTTCCACACTACATTACATAGATTGTATGTCCCTTGAGGGTTAGGGACCTTAGATTGTACACCCCTTGAGGGTTAGGGACTGATATGAATGTACAATATATATGTAAAGTGCTACATAAATTTATGGCGCTAAATAAGTACCTGAAATAAATAAATATTGCAAGTCAATAATAGAAAAAAAAATACTTACCATAATTTTCCTTCCCTGATGCCAATCCAGGGCATCATATTACCACATGTATGCTGCCATGTTGACACCAGGAAAGTAATTTATGAAAAGTAAAAACATGGCACATTTACTATACTTTTTCTGAGTTTTGACCTTAATCCAGTTTTGACCCTAATCTCCAAACACAGAAAGGTTTCTTCACAGTAAAAGCTGTGAAAATGTGGAATGGACTCCCTCAAGAGTTGGTTCTGGCCAGCTCAGTGGATTGCTGTAGGAAAGTCCTGGATTCTTTCTTGTATACACAGAATATAACTGGATATAACATTTATAGGTGAAGGTGATCTAGGGAATATCCTATTGCCTCTCGGGGGATCAGGAAGGAATTTTTTCCCCTGCAGGAGCAAATTGGATCATGCTTTGCTGGGTTTTTTTTCCTTCCTCTGGGTCAACTGTGGGTATAGGATTATAACTTTTTTTTTGTAATGGTTGAATTGGATGGACTTTTGTCTTTTTTCAGCCAGAGTAACTATGTAACTATCTTGACCTGCAATTTTTTAAGATGTCTACAGGATTTGGTGGTATTTATTTTAAACATTGCAGCGTTATCTTATGATATAATTACAGGTACTTATACAGCACCATCAATTTAGGCAGCACTTTACATATATATTGTACATTCACATCTTAACCCTCAAGAAGCGTACAATCTAAGGTCCGTAACTCACATAATAGGGCCAATTAACCCACCAGCATGTCTTTGGAGTGTGTGAGGAAACCCAAGAAGACAGGGAGAGCATACAAACTCCAGGCAAGTGGTGCCATGGTTGGGATTTGAACCAATGACCCTAGTACTGCCAGGTGGAAGTGCTAACCATTTGGCAAGTGGTGCCATGGTTGGGATTTGAACGAACGACCCTAGCACTGCCAGGTGGAAGAGCTAACCATTTAGCAAGTGGTGCCATGGTTGGGATTTGCACCAACGACCCTAGTACTGCCACGTGGAAGTGCTAACCATTTGGCAAGTGGTACCATAGTTGGGAGTTGAACCAATGACCCTAGTACTGCCAAGTGGAAGTGCTAACCATTTAGCAAGTGGTGCGATGGTTGGGATTTGAACCAACTACTCTAGTACTGCCAGGTGGAAGTGCTAACCATTTAGTAAGTGGTGCCATGGTTGAGATTTGAACCAATGACCCTAGTGGTGCTAGGTGGAAGTGCTAACCATTTGGCAAGTGGTGCCATGGTTGGGATTTGAACCAATGACCCTGGTACTGCCAGGTGGAAATGCTAACCATTTAGCCACTATGCTGCCCCAGTGAAAATAGACTGGACTCCCCCTTTAATGACATTGATCTTGAGCTGGAGAACTTTTCCAATTATATCCAGTGGAACAAAAAGATGATTCATGGTGGGACACGTGGGAAAAGTGTGATCGTACAGACACAGGAAGTGATACCACATAGAGGGAGGAAAGGTTGTCAAGAGCAGACAGTAAGGGATGTCAAAAGCAGACAGGAAGTGATGTACAGACAGGAAGTGATGTTACATACAAAGAGGAAGTGATTTAAATAGGAAGGTCCAAGTGAGTTGGGAGGAAGACGTTGTCAGAACTTGCTGCAGAGGAGGTAATAAGATATTATTTTATATATTCTATGCCATACACACCAGTAGAAAAATATTTATTGATAGATGAGCCTTTAGAATTCCAAGTCCGTAGGAGGGAGCAGAGAAAACGAGAGATAAAAAGCCAAGAGACCGATCCTATATAGCAAATAATGTGGTAAACATCTACTCAGATGCATAAGGTTGCTAGATATCCAATCTACGGTCAAGCAATCACATTTTTTCACATAATAAGGATTATTTTAGAACCGCCATGGAGCTTTATCTCTGAAGCATTGCATTTTTACCATTTTGGGTATTGTATTTTTTTTATTTGTTTTTTCTTTTAAGGAGCCATTAAACCTCACTCTGGAGGTCATCTACCTGCTGACCAGAGAGGTGAGGGAGATTCTGGGAGGATTACATGACACTGACCTGACCAGAGAGGTAAGGAGGATTCTGGGAGGGTTGCGTGACATTGACCTGACCAGAGAGGTGAGGAAGATTCTGGGAGGGTGACATGAGAAGTGAGGTGGATTCTGGGAAAGTTATAGGACATTGACCAGACCAGAGAGGTGAGGTGGATTCTGGGAGGGTTACAAGACAATGACCTGACCAGAGAGGTGAGGTGGATTCTGGGAGCGTTACAAGACATTGGCCTGACCAGAGAGGTGAGGTGGATTCTGGGAAGGTTACAAGACATTGGTCTGACCAGAGAAGTGAGGTGGATTCTGGGAGGATTACAAGACATTGTCCTGACCAGAGATGTGAGGTGGATTCTGGGAGGGTTACAAGACATTGGTCTGACCAGAGAAGTGTGAGGTGGATTCTGGTAAGGTTATAGGACATTGATCAGACCAGAGAGGTGAGGTGGATTCTGGGAGGGTTACAAGACATTGGCCTGACCAGAGAGGTGAGGTGGATTCTGGGAAGGTTATAGAACATTGACCCTACCAGAGAGATGAGGTGGATTTTGGGAGGGTTACATGAGATTGACCTGAGCTGAGAAATGAGGTGGATTCTGAGAAGGTTACAAGACATTGGCCTGACCAGAGAGGTGAGGAGGATTTTTGGAGGGTTACATGAAATTCAACTGACCTGAGAAGCGACGTGGATCCTGGGAAGGTTATAGGACATTAAGCCGACCAGAGAGGTGAGGTGGATTCTGGGAGGGTTACAAGATATTGGCCTGCCAGAGAGGTGAGGAGGATTCTGGGAGGGTTACATGTGATTGACCTGACCTTAGAAGCGAGGTGGATTCTAAGAAGGTTATAGGACATTGACCTGACCAGAGAGGGGAGGTGGATTCTGGGAGGGTTATATGAGATTGACCTGACCTGAGAAGTGAGGTGGATTCTGGAAAGATTTTAGGACATTGACCCGACCAGGGAGGTGAGGAGAATTTTTGGAGGGTTACATGAGATTCAACTGACCTGAGAGGTGAGGTGGATTCTGGAAGCGTTACAAGACACTGGCCTGACCAGAGAGGTGAGGTGAATTCTGGGAGGGTTACATGAGATTGACCTGACCTGAGAAGCAAGGTGGACAATGAGAAGGTTTTAGGACATTGACCCAACCAGGGAGGTGAGGTAGATTCTGGGAGGGTTACAAGATATTGGCCTGACCAGAGATGTGAGCAGGATTCTGGGAGGGTTACTCTTGACATCACTCTAATTTCTATTAATAATACAGAGACTTGGAGGATTCTGGGAGGTCCCATGACATTAGTGTTCCTCTTTAAAAACAGAGTTTTCCTCCAGTGAAGCCTGGTGACTATTTACCTCTGGTATTATCGTCACCTCATTCCCTAAAACCCAAGAGAAACAAAGACCAAAACATTGTAAATGACGTTGAGAAGATCATTAATCTGCTGACAGGAGAGGTGAGCGGTGCCGGGAATTCTGGGACATTCTCCAGTAACAGACAAGGGATGTGTCTGGATGGTGACTGTATCATTGTGTGTGTCAGGTTCCTATAAGGTGTCAGGATGTCACTGTCTATTTCTCCATGGAGGAGTGGGAGTATTTAGAAGGACACAAGGACCTCTACAAGGACGTCATGATGGACAATCAGCCGCCCCTCACATCACCGGGTAAGAGGAGACTTTATTGTAAAGGAGAGAGCAGTACGGAGGGTCCACCTAGATCCCCCATCATCTGATAAACACATAGAAACAATGGATTCAGTCAGTGTGTGTGTTTCCTACAGATGGATCCAGTAATGGGAACCCACCAGAGAGATGTCCAAGTCTTCTGTATTCCCGGGATTCCACACACGAAGGTCACACCATCCATCGCCATCATCAGGTAGATGGATCAAGTAATGGGAACCCACCAGAGAGATGTCCCCGCCCTCTGTATTCCCGGGATTCCACACAGGAAGGTCACACCATCCCTCACTAACATCAGGTAGATGAATCCAGTAATGGGAACCCACCAGAGAGATGTCCCCATCCTCTGTATTCCCGGGATTCCACACAGGAAGGTCACACCATCCCTCACTAACATCAGGAAGATGAATCCAGTAATGGGAACCCACACAGAGAGATGTCCCCCCTCTGTATTCCCGGGATTCCACACAGGAAGGTACCATGAACCATCATCAGGTAGATGAATCAAGTAATGGGGAACCCACCAGAGAGATTCCCCATCCTCTGTATTCCCGGGATTCCACACAGGAAGGTCACACCATCCCTCACCATCATCAGTAGATGAATCAAGTAATGGGAACCCACCAGAGAGATTTCCCCATCCTCTGTATTCCCGGGATTCCACATAGGAAGGTCACACCATCTTGTATAAGGTTAACCACTTCCAGACCGGACACTTTTACCCCCTTCCTGACCAGGGCAATTTTCAGCTTTTAGCGCTATCACACTTTGAAAGACAATTGCGCGGTCATGCAACACTGTACCCAAATTAATTTTTTACCATTTTTTTGAGACAGATAAAGCTTTATTTTGGTGGTATTTATTCACCGCTGGGATTTTTATTTTTTTTGCTATGTAAATGAAAAAGTCCAAAAACTTTGAAAAAAAGTGTTTTTTTTTAATAAAATTTTGCAAATAAATAATATTTTATCATAAATCTTGGGCAAAATTTATTCCGTTATCTTTTTTGTAAAAAAAAAAATCCAAATTAGTTTATAACCAAAAATTATAATTTTTAAACATTTTTTTTACATTTTTATTTTATTTTTTTATATTATTATTATTTTTTTTTTTTTACATACTGTCACCCTAGCAGTACAGTGTCACCATGGTGACACTGTACTACTTGGGGGGTGATGAAAATTTTTTTTTACACTGATTGCTTTTATACCCATATAGGATGTAAAAGCAATCATTTCTCTTTCTCTCTGTCTGCATTCTTGCAGTCATTGAGAAGTACTGAGTGAGCTGTGATTGGTCACAGCTTGTCACGTGGTACAAGGCTGTTGTGAATAGCCTTGTACCATGTGACCTCTGTGATCATTCACAGATTTCACATGTAGTAAGCAACGATGTCACAAGTGACATCTTGCTTACTACTTTGCATGTGATCACTGATTGGCCAATCAATGATCACATGATCGGGACCTCGTACAGAGGTTCCGTTCAACGATCGGTGTTTCACTGTGTCCGGAGGACACAGCAGACACCGGATCGCGGTGCTGCGCGCTCCCAGGGAGCACGCACAAGCAGGGTGCGGGGAGGCCGTTTATAAACAGCCACCCGACCCTGCACTGCCACCGTCCGGCCGTTTATATACAACGGCCCGGTCGGGAAGTGGTTAAGTAGGAAAATAACTCTTAGCTGATACTTAACTTTGACCTCTTCATTGGCTATATTGTTCCAACAAAACTAATTTTAATTAAATATTCAGGGTATAAACCAGAGCAAGTTTAATAATGCTGTTAAAGAGGAGATAAAAGAGGAGGAGGAAGTGATGGAGAAGTTTTCAGAAGCACATAAAGACCCTTCAAGGATGCTGCAATTGAGCCATTCAGTAACTCAAACCCACCAGAGAGATGTCCCCGTCCTCTGTATTCCTGGGATTCCACACAGGAAGATCACACCATCCCTCACCATCATCAGGTAGGTGACCTCGGGGTATAAAACACAGAAGTCATTCTGAACTTTGTGAGAGGACATTCTTCTATGTCTGCTCTTGTTTCATTGCCTAATTCTACAAATACCAAACTCCTGTCTTTGCTCCACTCCTCCTCCATTTCCAGTCCCCCCGTGGAGCAAACCTACGTCATTGTTAGAAATCGTTATGTGTACTTTTCATCCGTGCGTCTTAGGTCCAGTCACATAACATCCTCTTATGTCACTCTAACACACGGGTGTCCAACTGGCAGCCCTCCAGCTGTTGCCAAACTACAAGTCCCATGAGGCATTGCAAGATTGACAGTTACAAGCACAACTCCCAAAGGCAGAGGTATGATGGGATTTTTAGCTTGGCAACAGCTAGAGGGCCGCCAGTTTGACAACCCTGGTCTAACAGTTGGCATGCATTGAATGGGGTTTTTTTTGCTCCTGGGAGTCCAGGCCATCATGATAAATCCTCCAAGGGCAAGTCTCTGGCTTCCTAGGTTCATGGAAAATAGGAAGGAAACCTGGTTTTTCTCTGCTGCAGGTCAGTAACACCTACTGGTTCTTCCCCCCCCAGCCAGTGACTGGACAGTGAAAGGAGAAGCAGAAGACTGATACGCTCATTCCTCTGTCACCCTGCTCTCCCTCCCTGTTATTACTGTAATGCAATTTATTGGCTAGTTGTGCTGATTCTTCCTCCCAAAATCTGAGCTCTGCTGTATAGGGATTGCAAGAGTCACATAGCAGATCACATTCAGGTACTTACATTTCTTCTATCCATAAAAAAAAAAAAAAAAAAACATTTAATGAACAGAGCTGCTATTCATTTGTGGGTTTTTTTTTATATTAAAGTTCAATGTTCATGAATGTATTCTATTATATTGGGGTTTAGGGTGAAGAATGGATTTATATAAAAGCTGAGGTTAAAGAGGAAGAAGTGGAGACATCTGTGGGGGGGGATCGACCGTCCACGGAGGAGGTTGGGATGTTCATGAAAAGCGAACATGAAGAAATGTCTCTACCTATCCACACAGGTAAGTTGTGGAGACACCAGGACCTAACCAGTGTGCCCGAGAAGTAGAAGGATGTATTACATCATTTCCATCTCCATTCCTCAATATAACGTCATGTTCCCAACAAATGAGGAGGAGATATTGGACACCATATGAAAGGTCCATCTCCATTCCTCAATAGACGTCATCTTCCCAACAAATGAGGAGGAGATACTGGACACCATATGAAAGGTCCATCTCCATTCCTCAATATGACGTCATGTTCCCAACAAATGAGGAGGAGATATTGGACACCATATGAAAGGTCCATCTCCATTCCTCAATAGACGTCATCTTCCCAACAAATGAGGAGGAGATACTGTACACCATTTGAAAGGTCCATCTCCATTCCTCAATATGACATCATGTTCCCAACAAATGAGGAGGAGATACGTGACACCATATGGAAGGTCCATCTCCATTCCTCAATATAACGTCATGTTCCCAACAAATGAGGAGGAGATACTGGACACCATATGAAAGGTCCATCTCCATTCCTCAATAGAACGTCATGTTCCCAACAAATGAGGAGGAGATACTGGACACCATATGAAGGTCCATCTCCATTACTCCTCATAGCCATCATTAGTGGAAACTGTTGACTGCTAGACCAACATATATAACTCATGACTGTCCTTTTTATATTCATTTAAAAACTTTCCATCAGATGGTGCTGATGTCAGGAATTCCTTGGAGAGACGTCTTCTATTATCTGCTGATTGGAAGTCAGAAGATAATGCCATCACACAGGATTCTCCAGGAGTGAATCCAAATACACCAAATATCCATCACAGACCTTCCTGTCCGGAGACATCAATGGATCCCTCTGATCAGGGTGAATCTTCTGACCAATCACATACTAGGAATGCAAATGTCCATTTAGGATCTCACACTGCAGATAGATCAACAGATCCATCTAATCCCAAGGAATCTTCCTCACCCCATGAAGGAGCTCACCGAGGGGACAATCTATTCTCATGCTCAGAGTGTGAGATATCCTTTACTGAAAACAAAAACCTTCTTAAACATCAGAGAATCCACACGAGTGATCGTCCTTTATACATGTTCAGAGTGCGGGAAATGTTTCAGTGACAA